GCATTTTAATTTAATCTTAAAAAAAGCAAACCGGTATAGACACTTTTTTCTGCGTATCTTCAAAATTTAATTTTGTTAAACCTAATTTAAATTATGTACTCACAGTAAAATCTTTGATGAACTATAATAATTTCAGAATGTTTAAAAATTTGGAAGACTGGTATGCGAAGGAAGGAGAGGCTAATCTTTGGAATATGGTAACAGGTAGTTTGGCGACATTTTGGTAAGGCGATAAAGGTTACTAGCTAGGACTTTAGCAGTGTACATGGATAAAGTCAAGAGTGTGCGCAATGCCATTTTTGTGCAATTCTGGGATGTTTTTTTAAGTGAAAATAGGTCGACGTGTACATGGATGATACCGTGTATGTGCAATTCTTAAAAACGCGGCAAGCAGTGGGCGATTCTGCACTTTCTCCCAATTTCGCCACCTAATCTTCTTCATGATTAAGCACTTTTGTTCCATAAAAGTTCTAGCATAGCGTAATTCGACTAGCAGATTGTTGAAAAAAAATGTTGAGTTAAAAAAAAAAAAAAAAAAAAAAAAAAACATGCGTTTACTTTGTGAAAACAAAACGGCGTCCAAAAAAAACTAGCAGGTTGCTGTAGCAGGGTTGGTCACCAAATTTTCGCCAAAAATCGCCAAGTTACCATAATCCGAAGATTAACCGAAGGAGAAAATTCAACTTTAAAGTGGACAGCTTAAGCATTATAAATATTTCAGAAATGCACGTTTTATGATTTTACTCTTAATTTACATCTTTCTGAAAGTTCAGGGCTTTTATACGGTTTTCAGTCTCCATATCTTGATTATGGTTTATATATTGTTTTTTGCCATAAGGAATGCAAATCTCTAACTCGTTGTAAGCAGACAAGTTTGGGAATTAAAAATCTTTGAAGACAAATCGTGCCTTTTCCGATCGAAAAAGGAAGCTCCGAAAAACCGGCTGCTTATTATAATCGTTGCACCAGAAAAGGCTTATGGGAGGAATATCTTTAGTTCTATGGTGTTCAGTAGCATAAGTAAATTAGAGTGCTATTACCAAAGTGCTGTTCAGGAGGCAGTTTTTGGCAGGTTACGAATAGTTTTGCAATATTATTTTTATTACATAAATATGCATATTTATCTGTAATATAATTATTATAATAATTATATATCTGTAATTATGTATGAATTAATTTATAATTATTTCTTAATTGTTAAAGCCTCAGACATACGGTTCCCCTGTACTTTAAATGCTAACTCCTAGAGCTGCAAAAATAAACAGACGACTTAGTAGAGTAAAACACACTCAAATAAAGGTTTAAACTAAACCTATTTATTAAACCGTCAGCCTAATATTTACGCAAGCTATACAATAGCACAAAAGTATATTGTCTTATTGTTTTATTATATTTTTGAAATAATAATAAAACTATACATTTTTAACATACTTTGGGTCCGCATTAAGCTTGTTTATATATTGATTTTAGTTTTATCGTGAAAACTCATGGTATCGTTACTTTTCGGAAAATATGGAACAACATTCAGTCAATTTAAGATACTAAATACAAAGTAACACTTCCCTGCTAAGCTTTGGCTCGGCCATCAATATTTGAAGAAGCAATGGCGTCTAGCAAAGCTAAAGCCGGTAAAGTAATTCAGTAGCTAGGGGATATAACTAGTAACCGGTCGGCGACAACGGCTAAAGGCTCTCTTCCTAACTCAAAAACGCTGCATTTACATGCATCACTAATTTGCATCCTGAGAGCGCACGAAAGTTGAAATCCTACTATTGGCAAAATAAAAAGATAATTAACATAAAACAAAAAATATATATACATTTACCCTTATTTCATTATTAAATTACTTTCTTTCAGGATTTTTATTTTCCCTCTCTTTTATTTAAAGCAACTATATGCATGTGGGTCCCAATAACCATTAACTGTATGCATATATAAATCACGAGGTTGAAAAGTTAAAAAAAATTGTTTTATAGTAAGGAGCTTATTCATGCTCTTTAGGGGCTTGCAGCATTTTTTGTTTTCGTATAAATTTCGATCTCTTCTCGCATTTATTACTTTACTAATTTATATAACGAGACCAGCCTACGAGTGGGTGTGATTCTGTCTCTTCTCTCCCTCCGCCCCGTTACAATAAGGAAACACTCTACAATACCTATCGCCTAAGCCTTGTGTAAAAAGCAATATTCTCTTAATCCTTTAACTAGTAGTCTAAATCCCTGCTTGTTCTTTTTATTGTTTAATTAACTTTATGGACTTGTGTACTTAAGAAAATTCTTATTGAGCCTGTTTCTGTAGGAAAAAGATTTTGTTTCAGTGAGGAAGTGTACCATCTTTACGAGTATGGGCATATGTTAGTTCCTGTATTCTAACAATGAAGAAGTGAAATACGTTTCAGTAAGTTCCAGCGCTAAGCGAAACAACATTAAGCGAAGTCATCTTAACACATTAACAAGTTAAATGAGAAGACACAATAAAAAAATTTAGCCCTTATTTGTTTGTTTTTGTTTTATTTTGTAATATTTATTGTTAAATGCTTTCTTATTACATTAATTACAGAATTAGTTATTTCTAATATCGATTTTTATTCATGAAAATGAAAAGGTCGAATCACTTGATATTTTTTCGTTTTTTGTGAGGAAGTCATCTAGTGTCGTTGGCCCAACAGCGGCCCAGCTGAACACTGGTAGTTCGGTCCGAGGTTCGAATCCCGCGAACGCCCTGGATGCATGGGTGTTTTCCCCTTGTTTAACGTGTATATGAGCCAGTTTCCCGTAGAAAGTTCTTCAACGGTGGCATCCTCCCCTTCAGCAGATAGCCCTCGAGGCTTTGCCGATCACATCTGTTATCGTTTGCTTTTTCCTGTTCCATTTAGCAATTAGTTATGGCATCAATGACAACTCATTTTACTTTTGAACTTTTATAGGAATATAAATAATTTTGTATAAATTGATCCACAATTTGTGTCACAATGGCTGAGCTTTTTTCGTAAAATCCGTTGGAAGTTCCTTTTTCTCCTCATTTTCAGAATGCAAATTTTGTCCTCTTTGTGCACTTGCTCTGCTAACCCTTTAAATTGTCGCTGGAAAGAGTTTCATCAATTGTAACTTGCAACAATTCTGCAGTATCCTATATCCTACACTGATATTATCCAAACTGTTTCATTAGCTAATTTAACAATTTCGTTGATACCAGCAAGGAATTGCTTCAAAACTCTTGCTCAGCTCCTTCTAAATTCCTTTCATACGTTCTTTGGTCACCTCGTTCCAGGACAAAGTAATATTGCCCACTGTAACCATGATATTTTAGTTTTTCAAAAATCTGTAATGGATTATTTATCTTCTATATCGATTTTTTAATAAGGTGTCGAAGTGTCTGCCGCATATTTTAAGCTTTAAAATTTGATATTATGCTCTGATCCAGTGGTTAAATTACTGAAGCTCTGTTTGGAGGCAATAGAACCAGTTTTTACTGGAATGCTCCGACAAATGCATTGTATGGTTTGCACCATTATCAATCAAAAGTCAAAAATTAAGGTTTCGGTTCTAGTTTCTTAAATCCTCTGTAGCGTTTGAAATGGGCAGAATTTTTGATAAACCAGTTCTCGAAAATTTTTATAGTGATTTAAGTTTTTTGACTCCCAAATTAGTAAAATGAATTTGAAATTCCCTTCCATGTTGTGTTGAGTCTTTGAAATTTTAATGTGATTTCGAGGAATCCCGGCTTTAACTAATACCGCGTAATACTGAAACAGCGTTAAGCGGGGTCTTATTACAATCAATATTGTATATTAAAGAACTATTTTAGATAAAACTATGTTCCCTTTAATACATTTTTTGAATAATCCCAATCATAAATTGAAATAGTTTATTTGCGTTTTCATGAAACTTGCTAATTATTTACTATTGGGGTTCGCTATCCTCAAAATGAGTGGTCGCATGTCTACACTGACGACTCTGTTAGAGAGAACACACGGTGCTGGAGCAGGTATCCATAGCGAGCTTTTCAGTTTCTACTTACCAATGGGACTCTTGGTGGTAGGGGAAGAGTGGTGGGGATCCTCCTCCTGGGGTACTTTCCTTCAAAATTGGGGGCGAAATTGAGTAAAATCGTAATTTCATCTGTATGGTGCTCAAGACTGCCAACGACAGACGCAAACTTCCCGCCTTGCCAGGATGAATTTCGTGAACTTGCTCTGATATCAGACAAGTGAGATTAGTCACAACAATAATGTTTGAAATACAAACTGCATGTTTATCCGCGTGTTAAAGCTTTGTGGCAAAACTGCGTAAGCAGTCATCGCTGCATAAAAAACATAAGTTTTCTGTTTCTCATTTCTGTTATTGACTTATTTTTAACAATTTAGTTCAGGTTATTTGAATACAGAAAAGCACGCCTAAGGGAAAGAATATCTTCATGAAGGACTTTCTAATGGAAACTCGCTTATCATGTTACACATGAGATAAACTACAAAAAACACCCACGCAAGCGATTATGGTGCATGGGCAAAGATTGCCCATGCACCATAAAATTGAACTTGGGTCGAATTACTGGTATTCACTCGGTCTTAACCACTCGGTCATTAGTAGGAATCCCAAAACATAGTGTGTAAATAAAATTTAAGTCTTCTAAAATACATTTTCTAATACTTTTTGGGAAAAAATAACATTTATTGCATTATTAATGACAATAACTGATTTGTTGTCTTTGGAATACTATAGCATAATCTTTTATTTTTTACCTTGAGGATGCAATTATAATACATTTCATTTTGATCAACAGTAAACTGTATTGAAAAGATTGTAATATTTAATAAAAATGAAAAGGTTTACTTAATTTGTCTTTCTATCGTAAATAAAGTCATGAATAAAAATATAAATTAAGAAACACTTCGATATTTCCAGTCTGGCAATGTTAAGAAATGGCGAGGACATAGTGTTTGAATTAGTATAATAATTTCTGCATCTAATGCCAGTCAGTATTGTTTTATTTCTCACATAAACATAATAGTCGTGATGTTTATTTTTCTTCTGACAGCTGGTTTGGGTACAGCCGCTGGACTCGTAGGTGTATGTTTGGCTGGATGTGATGTCACAATGAATGTTGTTTTTTTCACCTGCTCTCTCGCTATTGGTGGATTTTGTTATTCTGGCTACATGGTGTCACATTTAGATTTATCACCTGAATACGCAGGTAAGTTTTTGAGAACTGCTTATAGATGTCAAGGTTAAATTTTTTAAGATTTTATTTTGCGAACAAAGAATAAATAGAAGTATTAAAACTATTTTTCTATTTTATTGATACAACTCCCCCCCCCGAGGGAAGAATTTACTGTTTATTAAAACACTTTAGTTGCCTGAGTAAGTCTGAGTCTAAAATAATGACAGTGCCGCGTTTCTGTTTGCAGCGAAATTCTGCGATATGCAATTTTAAATTGAAACTCCATGCTCTACAGTGTAATTACACTAAATTAGTGGTGCTTGGCTCTGTAGAGGTTTCATTATAGCTCAACTAACGGCTTCTCTTTAACTAGTCATGATTAAAAAGCAGAAGTTTGAAGCCTTATAGCAAAAATTCTATAAGCCGAAGGTCAATCGAGTTGGTTTAATCATGACCACAGAGTTTTCTTAGCACCATGTGTCATCTGTGTACGGTAGAATCGATTGTAATTGCAATTTTGCACCAAATGAGCAGTGATCGAGAAAATGAGCCATCTGCAGTCGTGTCAGAAACACATTTAATTTTTGAGATTTGAGGATTAAGAAAGGGATAAAAAAAGGTAATAAATAAAACAAATCTTAATATTATGTTTAAAAGATAAGTAAAATATGCCGCTATTTCAGGTACATTGATGGGTATAGCAAATACGATATCAAACTTAACAGGATTCTTGGCACCGTCTGTGGTTGGAGCTCTTACTGAAAATTCGGTAAGTTTTATTCATTTTTAATTTTTGAAAAGATCTCTAAATTATGTACCTCAGTATACTAAGTTAATATGCAATACTGGTAATAAATATGCTTTTTTTTAAAGGTTATGCCAAAGTTTAGAAACAAATTATTCTACTGCTTAATGTTGTACTTGCCTTTATATTTAAAGCATGAACTGCAATATGCTATTTGGTTGATAACTGTCTATAACTCAAAATAATGCAAACTATAAAATCCAAAACTTAATAAATTAGCTTAAGTTTGTCTCCGTGCGATAAAAATTGACCGATATATTTAATTTTTCATTTTAAGATTTATAGTCAGAGGACATGTAAAAATTCAAAAGCGAAATGTTTGTACTTGTAAGTAAATAAAAATGAAGGTACTACTCTTATATACGCCCTCAGATGTATACCGTCGTCAAATGTGGTAATATGTGTTCTGCGCTGGTTTTTGGTGCGATTGTGTGTTCTGAAGTTTTTGGCGCGACGTTGTTTGTATGGCAACCCTTTTGACGTTGAAACTTTATTTTTGCTGGAGTGGTTGGCTGGT